AGGTGTAGGCACCTCGGAATGATTGTGTTAAGCTAGCACAAAGTCTTTCCCCCATCCACCTTTATTCTTTTCTTCACAATAAGGCTTTCAAATAAGTCATGGTTGTACGGCAGTGAAGCAGTGTTGAACACTGATGTCATGCTGTCGATGATGATGATGACTATAAAGGCAGGTAGCAGAAGGGACAACCTATATAACTCGTAAGGTTAACAGTTGGTCAGCAGCAAGGGCACTTAGGTATCTTCCTTTGTTGGTATACGTCAAAACGTTGCTCCAGAACACGCCAACTGGTTGCACTCATTTGCAGACAAGGAAAGCTTTGTTTGAGGTGCGCAGCTGGTAAACAGCCGAAGGGATCGGTCAAGTCACGGGACTGGAAAAAATGTCGGGCGTGAAAAGTTGAATTCCGTGGTATTTAAGCAGTGGGTGATGTGGGTAGGGAAAACATGCGAATATATAGCAGATTCGGCCACACAGCACGAACAGGATCGATAACTCATCGCTATTGCTCCATCAACAGAAAGTTTATCAAATGGAACTTACGGATAATGAAGGCCTACTGATGACCGACGGAATTCCCCCACGCCGAGAAGCATTGTCCTTAAAAATCTAAGGAGAATCGTCATCACTGGAGGACTGACAATTATGAAAAATATCGGTGCCGTACTGCCGGTGCCCAAAGAGTGGATGAAGTGATGGTGGAACGTCCAGAAACATCAGGAACCTCAACCCTTCAGAGCCAAGTAGTTTACATAAACTGGGAATGAATTGTAACGAGGCAAAGATGATGTCTCCCAGCAAGCGGAATACCAAGCTCGATAAACAGAACAACCACTCCCGCCTGCAATGCGCAGCTACCTACCCTTCCCCCCCCCCTCCAAAGCATCGGTGAACGAAACTGCGGCAGCTACAACCACTGTACGACGAGTACGCGGTTATTACAGCTGACAATGATGATGATGATGATGATGATGACAAACAGCTTGGGAGTTCTCCGACCAGGTTAAATCGGAGCCTAATCATGAGAAGCAACAGAAATCACACATTTGATCGCCCCATTCATTCAGTTTGACCAAGTCTCAGGTTTTAACGACATGCTGAATTCGGGATACAGGCGACCACCCGGTGAACGTGACACGCGATCCAGCTTGCAGTGATGAATGCAGTCTTCATATGGAAAAACTGTTGAGCAGAGTAGTTCAGATGTGCTTGGTCGAAATATAGCACCAGTCATCCTTGCGTCATACCAGCTTGTCTCCTGTTAGTGTGGAAATTTGCAAGTCTTATGATGGGTAGATTGCGAACGCTTCATTGGTCGACCCCAGAATTGCTTACAAAACGGTCCACATAACCAAAAAAACTTACCTGCGTTTATACTTCACCACCACATCGAGACCGAAGTGAAAACCGGTCCAGCGCCAACTGTAGGTCATTTCACCGTTGTCAATCCGCCGTCCACACCGTTCGGAAGTAAGCCAGAACACGTCATCCGATAAGTCGTCCGGGGAGGACGGGGGATTTGGGCTATCCTCTCCACCCATCATGTCGGTGACCGGGGAGGATTCCCGAGCGGTCAGGGTGGTTCGAATCCGGACTGGGCTGGAATGTGTGCCACCAACAGTGCTAGTACTGCTGGTACTACTGTGGCTGCGTGTGTAGGATCCTAATCTGGACTGGCTTGTTTGTTGATCATGCATACGGAGTAGCCTAAGCCACTGGCGAGAGAACACCTGGGATAGCCAGGCTGTCCGAATAGACAAAAAAGACAACAAGATCATCCAATCCGACAATAACGAAAAACGCAAAAACACTCGCATCAAAACCAGTTTGCACATCAGGGAAAATATATCGCAAAACCCAAGAAATTTCAATGGCTTATTACACTTATCACCACTGATGAAGTGCGCCCGCAAACGAAGAGACCCGAATGTACCCTGGAGCGTATGATGATGATGATGATGATGATGATGATGATGATGATGACAAACAGCTTGGGAGTTCTCCGACCAGGTTAAATCGGAGCCTAATCATGAGAAGCAACAGAAATCACACATTTGATCGCCCCATTCATTCAGTTTGACCAAGTCTCAGGTTTTAACGACATGCTGAATTCGGGATACAGGCGACCACCCGGTGAACGTGACACGCGATCCAGCTTGCAGTGATGAATGCAGTCTTCATATGGAAAAACTGTTGAGCAGAGTAGTTCAGATGTGCTTGGTCGAAATATAGCACCAGTCATCCTTGCGTCATACCAGCTTGTCTCCTGTTAGTGTGGAAATTTGCAAGTCTTATGATGGGTAGATTGCGAACGCTTCATTGGTCGACCCCAGAATTGCTTACAAAACGGTCCACATAACCAAAAAAACTTACCTGCGTTTATACTTCACCACCACATCGAGACCGAAGTGAAAACCGGTCCAGCGCCAACTGTAGGTCATTTCACCGTTGTCAATCCGCCGTCCACACCGTTCGGAAGTAAGCCAGAACACGTCATCCGATAAGTCGTCCGGGGAGGACGGGGGATTTGGGCTATCCTCTCCACCCATCATGTCGGTGACCGGGGAGGATTCCCGAGCGGTCAGGGTGGTTCGAATCCGGACTGGGCTGGAATGTGTGCCACCAACAGTGCTAGTACTGCTGGTACTACTGTGGCTGCGTGTGTAGGATCCTAATCTGGACTGGCTTGTTTGTTGATCATGCATACGGAGTAGCCTAAGCCACTGGCGAGAGAACACCTGGGATAGCCAGGCTGTCCGAATAGACAAAAAAGACAACAAGATCATCCAATCCGACAATAACGAAAAACGCAAAAACACTCGCATCAAAACCAGTTTGCACATCAGGGAAAATATATCGCAAAACCCAAGAAATTTCAATGGCTTATTACACTTATCACCACTGATGAAGTGCGCCCGCAAACGAAGAGACCCGAATGTACCCTGGAGCGTTGTGACGGCATATTCACCTCCATAACCCATCAAACTATACTGGAAAGTCTGAGTGTGATACTTAGAGACGCTCATAACACGTTGATCTGGCTAACACAGTCCGCTGGTCCTCCAGGCTGGGGATCATAAAATACGTGGAGACTTGCTCCTAAAAATGTGGGCAATCCTGATGGTATCACGCTAACCATCATCGCATTGCGGTTAGGCTTTCGAGTCAAGGACTTGGGTTAAGGAACATAATGGTCCTCCAGTGTGGGTTTGGGCACTCTGACAGTATCACATCCCACATACAACCATAAGTAGCACATTTACAAAAAACCTCAGAAATTGCTTCTGCAAACGAGATTTTCAAAGCAGAACTTTTATGCTGACGTTTTATAAACTATTATGACCTTCCGAGCACGTAAGTGGAAAGCTCAGTGCAATTATACTGACCAATAATAACTGTGTTACTTCATGGTTAGCAAAAAATGCGAAAGAATCCAGTATGCCGAATGGAGAGCTGAGAAATAATAACACCGCAAGTGGTACATGGGTCGCAAAACGAAAAATCAAGTAACAGCATCTGTTTAGTTGTAGAATCCTAACTGCTATCCCACTCGAAGAAAGCGAGATGGATGGGATACTGCTGGGTTGCCCAAGCCTAGATAAGCCAAATTGGATGCAGAGGTGACCAATAATAACTGTGTTACTTCATGGTTAGCAAAAAATGCGAAAGAATCCAGTATGCCGAATGGAGAGCTGAGAAATAATAACACCGCAAGTGGTACATGGGTCGCAAAACGAAAAATCAAGTAACAGCATCTGTTTAGTTGTAGAATCCTAACTGCTATCCCACTCGAAGAAAGCGAGATGGATGGGATACTGCTGGGTTGCCCAAGCCTAGATAAGCCAAATTGAGATGCAGAGGTCGGGTTCGAAACACGCTCTAACCACTGAGCGATCTCGGCAGTAACAGCATCAAGATACCGACGATCAGTGCAACAACCGTACTGTCGTTTATGGAGCTTTCTCTTGGTTAACCAGACTGCTTCATGTTCGAATAATTTGGTGTAAGAGCAAGGAGAATAACTACAACCTGGACGGTGGTTTACATAATCGAAGTGCCTCAACGGAGTTCACCTGTCATTTTTGAGTTGTCTGTTGCGTGAGACGGTATCAGCAAGATCGATAAGATAGGATATAACCCAGGGTGTATTCCTTTCTCGTGAGACTCGCCTCCTTGAGGCCTATCTACTATGCTGCGTACCAAATTTGCACGATGAGCAATCGAAAAAGTCTATATGTTCACGTCGACGGGGCATCAGCAATGAGAGGTGAAGTATCCACGAGGATGGAGAAGGAAGGTTCTCAAACCAAAGACTATGCATCGCCCTATACCTGAGATTCTCAAGGCACGGATCACGGCGAATTTCATCTACTAGGACATCCGGACCAACACATGGTTGTATATGAAAACTTATGAAAACTTGCTTCACAATCCAATGACAGAAAAGTAACAAGCGCAGCTCAGGTTGACAGTAAAGTCGATGTGTGGGTGCATAAAGTCTCCTGTCGATGAATCACACAGGAAGTGGGGGACCTGATTTTAACACATAAAAACTGTTGTCCTTCAGAAGGCAGACCTATGCACTCCTTCAATACAGATGGATTCATTGTGAACATCAGCCATAAAATCGAAAATTTGGCCCAACTGACTTCCAAAATACATCGGATATAAGGGAGGGATATGGTTTCGACCCAAATAGACGATGAAATCTAAATAATGGCACGCTAACCATCCGTACATGGTTGAATGAACCACGATTATGAATAAACAGCACCTGGATGGAGTGAATGAGATCACCTTTGGAGTTTAATGACCATAATGGCGATGCTGTTCAACCGTCCTGTACAGCCTGGAGGTCATCCTTGTCTGCACATAGACTAAAGACGAAATCACACAAATGATAAAGAGTTCAGAGATTGCCCGCACCACCTCTCCAAAACCCCCCATGGAGCGAACACAGAGCTTGCCAGGAGAAAATATCTGCGAACAAATCCCATTTCCTCTGACCTATATAGGTGAAAACAGTTTGAAGACAAAGGGAATGTAGTTTACAACCAATTCAAACACACCCATCAGTTCGATTGTGTTTTAAAATTTGCTTAGGCTCTGCTAGCCTCGACGGTTTAAGCACAAAATTCAGTCTCCCATTGCACCACTGATGGTAAATCTTCGAAGGAACCATTTGCATCCTACAGCTAGCTATAATTGTGCAGGTTCTTCCAGTGATACCCCCCCCCCCCCCCAACTTGCAAGTTCCGACTGAATCTCTTACCACAAAAGCACGTGTGTGTTATTCGCCGTCCGTCAGTTCAGCTGTCCAGCACACAAACGTGTCGGGTTATTGGCCAACACGAATGACAAAGCCAGTGATTTTATAACACAGGTCTTCTTTGTTAAGTCGATACCATGTGAGAAGGACGACGTGTCTGTTTGACAGAGTAATTACTCAATGTATCGGAATGGTCGCTAAAAAAACTTGAGCCACATCGGACAATCCGGTATGATAGGGCTTCGATGTTTCGAGTTAACTTGTTCTATGTATAATGGTCGTTTTCCGGACTAAAGAAATGTGTTCGTTTGAAACGCAAAACCGCTTTTTTCGTGCCTCATTGCCGATCAATCTCCGACAAAGATTGAACCACTACCACCTTGCTATTATCGGTCACCCCACTTGCTCTCCACATCACTTCCATAAAAAGGAAGGGAAATGATGTTGTGTTGTACCAAACGGTTCCATATGATGAGCTCCACATTGTTCCACCGGGTGCATTCTTGAGTGACAGTGGATAGGACGTAGAGTGAAACGATTACACCAATAACAATACATTGTTATCCCCACAGACACATAGGGAGCAACCAAAGGAAGTTTGCAGGCATAGTCTCAAAAAATTCATCATCGCCACTCCCCGGTCTGGAAATACGATCCACTCTGCACCGCCATTACACCACACTCAGTGAGTTCCACATGTCACTATTTACAAGCATTGAGTACATGCAGCTTTCATTGTTCCTCCCACACACTTGATGACATGTCACGTGGAGTCACCTTTTAGCAGGGTAGGTTTCCACGTCGTATGTCCGTTGGAAGTTGAATCATGAAAAGTTCGGAGGGATGTTGGGTCAGCGAGGTCCACAAAGGTGCTGAGGTCACCTTACTTCAATAAGGGACCCAGATATGCATACACACTTCTATCCACAGAAGATGCGCACGGCCAAAATCGCGCCCATGTGGAAAGCGGAGCATAGGACCTCTTCACTCTGCAGTTGCAAAATTTATCCGCACGAACCCAGAGGCACGGACGGAATGAACAAATAAACGATGTCGTAATTAGCTGCTGGTTTTAGAAGTCGGCAGTTGGCGGCACTTGTGTTGGACTGTGTTTATCGCAGACAAGATATCCGGTGAATGAGGGTGAAAAACACTGGATGCAATCGGCTTAAGCTATTGCTCCGGTAAACGATACTTCTGGCATCGACTCATCTTCACTTTCAGTTCTCTCTAGGACTAAGATCTTCTGAGCTGCATCGTTTTTTTTCCTATGACGATGCGTTTCTGAGATTTATTGGAACCAGTTGTTCATTGCTTGCGTTTTGTTGAGATTGTTGAGGGGGGACCACTGCATGCTATTTTGACCAAAGCGAGTGATGTTCCAGTTTCGCTCGCTAATGTTGTGCAAGATCCAAGGAGTCAACCAGGGAGCCAACAGATCACGACAGTCCGAACGGAATCGGTCTGCTTTATCTTTCTTACTTCGAAAGTACTGTGACGGAGCGACTGTCCCACGATCTTTAGGTACACCGGACGGACATATGTACTGATTAGAGGCTATCGCTGCATGAAGGGAAACCTCCGATCCCTCACCCCACCCCACCGACACACAAAACTGCCACAGTTTACGGGTTAAGTGGAATAGATTTGTGTGAACAACGAAACGTAAACCAGAGTACTCCATCCTCGATCTTCTTTGTTACAGTTCAGCACGCACACAGTAAGTGATTTTCTATCGAAACTGGCAAGCATCGCTCTTCTTGGAAGTATCTCATGGAATACTGGGGTCGAAATATTCTACCTATTCTTGGAAACATCCTGTTTAACAGCACGCTATTTGGAAACAGCATTGTATTATTCCTTCAAATAAGCACCTCCACGAAGAAAAAACGATTCGCCAGAGAGCTGAAAAGACATTCATCATCACGCGTCCAGATGGTGGGCTATCCCAACAAGAAGGCTTCTCCCTAGAAATGCCGAATAATAGACTGCCTCGCGGTGGCCCATATTCATTCATCAGTATCCAGATGTGTTGGCACCATAATAATGACCCCTTCTCATAACGATTCGAGACCCGCCTTCTCGTTCTTGAATATGCCCGTCTGTTTACACACTCGACTATAGGTTAGTTACCAGTATCTGCTAGGTTGGTGTTGCTTTTCATGGAGATGATGACGGGGGTAATCATCCATATGGCCATCATTTTGGACAGCGAAGATGTTCCCTTCTCCAAAATGAAGAAGCGGCGTTTCACCGGTATCGGTAATGAAAGATTTTACTGAACATCAGGTAAATCACTTGACAGTGTTAGACACCAACGGAGGTCGAGACCGATTCCCTCCGTTAAGGTGCACCATGCAACACAAGCATTTGAGATAACATTTAAAAAAATGTTGATGGGGTGACTCACATTCTGGGACAATACGATCACGTAGCATACGTTCTGTAGTCTTGTATACGTTCACGATGTACTCCCATCGAACAGAGCGAAATGCTGGAGCATACACAGCACCCTCCGGTGTTTCTAGGAAAGTGGTATCTAGGTGGTAGGTGAAAAACACGTGACAGGTTATTGTGAAGGGTTATGGCTGCAGGTAAATACAGTTATCGATAAATATAGGTATCGAGCGGGTTACAGGGAACAACGACAAACCCCTAGTCTTATAGACAAACCAACTTATAAAATCCCAGTGGTCTACTTTTTGAACACTCTCCAAATAAATTGTTACAGGTACCCGCCAACATTGTCTTTTCAACCAAGATGGATATAGTGTTTCGAGACCCCAAATGCCTCAGGAACAATGCAAGCAGTTGGACAGGTAATCAGCGGCCGGGGAAAAATTAATCCCTGATCTTTGATTAACTAGTAGCTCAAAACTCACGGATACCTAGAGTCGCATTAGTTAGAGATAATGGTCTCGCAGGTATCGATTTCAATCAAAATATTGAAACACCTTGGTGAAGTGGTCATAGTCGGAAGAGCGCCAAAGACTGATTGAGTAGTTATTTAGAGAGAAGTTAAAAGATGGAATCAACTTATTTGGTGCCTCTAGTTCGATGTACTTCAAAAAATCATATATAAGCGATATCAAACAGGAATAGGAGCTAATAATAGGGCAGGACAATTGACAGAAAACGGATGCCTTTGGACAGTGAGGAAACGGCAGCAATGATGACAACGTGCTACTGTTCGTTGTCAGTAGTCAAACGCTAACAACGTTTACCAGTCAGAAGAGGGGTGTCCGGAACGCGAAGTGAACAAAGCCAGGATAATAGGACGAAGTCGCACGGAGACGGTGAGTAAAGACAATGGTATAATTTTGGGACACGTAACAAGCTACTATGTTTGATCCGCTTGTCAAAAGACCGATTCGGCGGGTCCTCATCTCACTAGCTCAGCAATTAGGAAATTAAAAATTAAGACAACAGGTACCTACCTGCATTGGGTAGTGCTGCTAACAGAGAATTTTGTAACACTACCCATACGATCTCGTATAGAAACACAAACAGTGCATGGTATTTATGGACTTTTGGGGAACAGCCTGTTGTATAATCGGACCGCTTATATTGGAGACGAAGAACACCAAGATAGTGGGGCGGCTAGACGCATGGCGATGTCTCAACATTTGACGATTTCCGAACCAAGTAATCCCGCCTCAGCCGGAATCTAGCTTACAGTCATCGGGGCACTTCCTTAAGTGAATTCAACAAGAGATGCATAGAATGTTTTTACAACGTGGTTCAAACAATAAACCTCTCAGTGTAAGCGCATTTTTAAAATGGGCACCATTATCGAACACGCTTTCGGTGGAAGCATCCAACCCTAAGCAGAGGGAGTAGAAGTTCAACAAGACCAGCAGTTCAATGGCGTTTGAAGGAAACTAATTCGCCTAATTTTGCAGTCGTCAGAGGTTCCAGGTGTCTAGGAGTGGTTTAAAATCGGAAATAACAAAATATCAACCCAACATAAACAGGCGGCTGTTTTTTTCTGGAGTATCAGGGTGCCAAACGGCTAACACAAACGGAGGCCTAGCTTCAGGGTGATGCTGGAAACAAGGCGGTGGAGAAGTAACACTTGAAACCCCCCCATGCCATCTGAAAAGCATCTTCACCTGTTGCAGGACTAAGGTTGACGAGCTTCACTCAAGAGCCAGATGTTGTACAATAATTTAAGAATGAAGATCACATCTATTCAGGTTAGTAGTAGCCGGAAAGCTACTATGGGCCATGCATCAAATAGGAATACGGGAGAGTTTCACTTGCAGACAAAAAAATAATAGATAGCAATAAATAAGATAAAGATGGAGAAAAAAGTAAACGCCAGTGCCCCAGGATCAATTAAAACACGAAAGCGCGATTGGAGCTCACGCACCTTCCGATGTGAAGTAGGCGTAAGCAGCCTCCAGAAGCGGCGAGTTCGGTTGGTACTGATAGTCTTCGTGCTGGCGCAAGAACACCCACTGATAGGAAAATAAGAAAAACCGAACGAAATACGTTCATTAGTACTGAGATGTAAGAAGGCAAAAAAATCGTCACGAAGAACGCCAAGGTATACGGACGACTTTTCGCTCCAGAAGTTGTAATGAAGCACTGAGAAAGGGCAGATAAAGAACCATTTACAAATTAAGTCGCTGTTTACCGGAGGCTCAACTGAATCTTTCCGTTAGAGCAGTGAGTTCGGGGGGGCAGGCCTTCTTGTTGAGCTTTAAGGGGGACAAAGCAGGTAGTAGTAGTAGTAGCTCCACGAGTTTGCACCAGTGTCGTAAGTAGTGTCATACCAAGAATATCAACTCGGTAAATTGAATATCGTTCGAAACGGTACGTGAGGCGGTCTTTGTGCACAATATTATAAGAGGTACAAATGAGGTGAAAAGTGAATCTCTCTTGAACATCAGCTTAATTTGCAACTGAGTGTTTATCTGCAGATACGTTCAAATGAAAAGTCAGACTGATGGAAATTGGGAAACTAGGCCTATCCAATAATAAGCTCACACAGGAGGAAAACCGACAATGGGCTGTCCAGGATTTTTCATCTACTTTGTAAGTACTGTCGTACTAAGGGAACCAATGAGAACATTTACTCAGACTCTATTTCATCTCATGATGTCTGAAGGTCAACAAGGACGCTACTTTTGGTGCTGTATTCAAAAGCAAAAATGTCTAAAACAAACATACTATCAACCAATAAATTTTCAATAAGTAAGGTTTATGGAGAGACCACTTGAAGTGACTGACGAAAGGTGGTTTCATCTGAAAGGTGCATCCACATTAGAGGTAACTGAAACCAACCTCATGTAAAAAAAGCCGGCGAAAACTTATTCTAGAGAAACAAAACACGATACCTGGTTTGAATCGCTTGTACGATTTAGGATTTCAATCTATCCTTGAGTGTAACAGGTCGAAAGAGGGCATCATGGTTGAGAAAAATCAGTAAAGTATTAACCAGGAAAATTTACCACAATAACTGCGAGGTGGCTTCACAATATATTGTGGAAAAAGCTCTATATTGACAAATGCTGAAGACTGCAAACTAATGATGAGTGAATCCGGATGAGGTTTAGAGAAGTAGATTACCAGGTGCAGCCACTGACCGGACATACTGCTTCATCCCATTAGTTCATTCACGTGTAAATGGATGAATACACGAGCAACCGACTCAAACAACCGCATCGAATAAGTGATTGGTTTTGCTTTACCTGTATCAAGTGTATTGAACTGGGAATTGGGACTATTGGTGAAAAAAATGAAGCGCGTCGTATTAGAGCAACTGATGACATTTCGATTTCTCGTGAGGTGGATTTTTTCGATGGCCTGCTTTTGTTTGAGTTAGGTCCCCAAAATTCAACAAGAGATTCAAGAGACTGCCAACTGAAAGCACAGTCTCCCGTCTGGATCGTGACGAAGATGTCCCACTTCGACGTGGAAATGCGTACGGTGGTTCGACTAGCTCAAGTATGGGGCAGCAAATCATGCAGGTTAGGGAGGATGAAACTGACGATGGAGCATAGGAAAACGGATACAACAATGTCACTATGTGTGAAACTGTTGCGACGGTGAGCGCTTATGGTTGATCGCAGCCAAAATGCTCCAGGGTAGTTCTTGGTATAGTTTCCATTCTTCATCTGGTCATGTTAGCCATCTGGTTTGGTACACAGATCAGGGTGCGGCAATCAACCAGTGTAGACAGTATGGCCATATCAGGTCACCAGTTGGACAAGAAGTTTATTCGCAGTCAAAGGTACACATTGCAAACCCGATGCATTTTCAATACTTTGAAAAAACCGACGGTCAGAGACAGCCGAAGCGAGTTTGTCTTGCATGCATAGTTAGCAAGTTTAATAGTTGTAAGGAAAAAGCAGACGAGCTGCCGCACCTCGATGGATTGTCACGGTAACCTCAAAAGTGTCCGATTCGGAGGAAAACAGAGTGAACATTGGTGATCCTAGTATCCAAATTGTCAGCACCGCTGCTAACCGGCTTGACGCGACTCTCCAGCTAGGCATAAAAGGTTCACTACATCTAGCGGCTCCAGTGCTATGACCAGGTTTGGTGGTGTACTTACACTTTTGCTGCGGCATTTCGCATGAAAGCGCGTATGGGATGGCATATCGACACGACTGCGATTTTTCAGTGTGTTTCATATCGGAATCGAATGAGAATCGGGTAGCACGATGGCATCTGCGTATTCATGCATCTGCTCCATGAATAAACTGCAGACTGGAAGCGGCATGCAGCAAACAGTTTTCGAATAAATTATTCGACCACGCGGCTGAGGAGAAACGACAAAAGCTAATCTGTGCAACGATCGTTTTTGGGAGGGTGAACTCGAAAAGCCACTCGACTGAAAAGTTCAAGCACATTTGCCATAGTACAGAGCTTAGGCAAGTACGATACAGGCGTCCTCAACATATCACTATAGGACAGCAAGGTTGACTGGGTTGAGCACTATTTTCAGGTCTATGCTAACGATTGTTGCCCTTTTATGTGTGGCGGTGTGTCAGTAGTTGTCGCATGATGAAGATGTAGTCAATGCATCTACCACCCGGAAGGAATTCTGTTTCTCACGAGTAGTGAGCACAGGGTAATACCCGATAGAGACTAGACTAATGCATCTTGCGTCCAGACCCTTTTCCAAATAAACTTCTAGGGATTCAATGGCATTTCACTCTTCGTACATGGTTGTTAGACTGTGAACGACTCAGTTCTTCGCTGCCAAACAAGATAGGACGGTCTCTCCAGAAGCGTATTTCATGTTCGAATAGAATGAACAAACTGACAGCCCATTGCGAAGTGAGTGATGTGCTGATCTCTATGATAGATGTGTGGGACTACCTAAGTTGTTATTGGAAAGGTTTCTCAAGGTAAAAACTGGAATGAGTTTTGAAACCGTCTTCTCGTGTAATGAACCAACTAACCGGTAATTTTCTGGGCCTCATGTTTCGGATAAGTTTGAAGAGGATTCAACTGTTTCTGAGTACTACTACCCTTTTGATTCATTCAGCCTTTTTCGCAATCACTTCACCCGAGCGACCTTGACAGTGCGAATATCAAGACTTCTACATAGATCTTGCTATTATATACTGCCGACCCAGTCGGTCGCCTCCCTTGCCTCGATTACAGACCCGGACCGCTGTGAAATCTCTTTTAGATTGAACCCGCCTTTGTTTCAGGATACATACCGGAAAACATCGAATTCCCAACCGAATTTCGACCCAGTGATGATTCGGCTGGCAGGTTCCATAGTCCAAAGTCAACTACACCGACGCAGTAGACAAAACTCTTCCGACAGGTTCATCTTGCAAGCAGTAAGTGTGGTGGTAGTAAACAGTCTTCCTTTTAGTTACATTGAGACGAGCTGCAACATGATTACGAACCACGACATGATATAAGATTGTGAACATGACTCAAAAGAGCCAGGGGTGAATATGAAATAGTAAGTAGCCACATGGTTGGTCTTAGTGACCAAATCATTATTAAACTGCGGTAAAATGATGCTCATGTCTGTTCATGCCATAAACATCTATGAGACACTTAGGGTTGTGGGTTCCCACAGCACCTGCACCTACACCGAGACTGTTTTGAGGGTTGTCGACGATCCAAACTTGTGCGTCAAACAGTCAACTTTCACAGTTAATCTAATACTGATCAATGAGGCTACAAAGTAAAGCTTTTAGAGCAAAGCGATAATCTGAGTTGATATGAACCGTGTTGAGGTTCACTACTTCAATGCAGTTTCAGGGACACAACACACATTCATTTTCAAAACGGTTTACCGTTGGGCGATTCGACTGTGCGGTTTTGGCAGTTAGAACTTCTAACCCACACTTCCTCGGCGAGAATCTATGAATGAGGCAATGTTTGGCGACTAAATGAACGAAAACTTAATTGCTTTGCACTCCTGTTGCAGAAAGTAGTACCATCTTATCGTCATAGTCACGAAATAGGACTATTCCTACTCATAAAAACTTTCGAATCAAGTTAGATTGAGGTGATTACATTCGGCGATCACTTAGCCAGCCACTGACCTTGTGCAAACAGCGCACAGCATGAGGAAAATTCACAATATTGAGCTTGTGACAGACCGAATTTCGCTCCAATTTGAACCTATAATTGTTCAACCCCATTTCACGTTCTCCATCAACGAATCCGAAAAGTCGGGCCAAAGCGATAACCATACAACAACAAGGCAATGTTGCGACCAATCAGCAGTATCGCAGCAGCGCAAACCCGTTCAGGGACAGAGAGAACAAACCTTACCTTGAGCAAAAGAAGGAACACATCTTGCTCCAGTTGTACGACAATCAGGTCTGGCGTGGCGATAACATCCTGCATGAGCTCCACACTGTGAAACCAGAAAGCAAGCGTAAAGAATGTGGATGCTAGAACAGTACAAGTTATAAATACTATCCGGATACGGGAGTGAGTAAGCAATGGATATGAATCATGCTGTTCCATTTAAACAAAACAAATGAAGGCTGTCGAGGAGTTTTCAGCAACCTTATGAGTAGTGCATTGCAAAATATACATGTATCGCGATATCTCGAATATCGTAGCGAATAAAACATGAGGTGGCCTAGTTTAGCACATTCAGTTGCCTGGAAACATCGAAACCAAGAGATTCAGCTGGGTTCCAGGTGAGTCTCTCGAAAAACCAAATTAGTTTGGAAATGCAGCCACTGACCTTGTGCAAACAGCGCACAGCATGAGGAAAATTCACAATATTGAGCTTGTGACAGACCGAATTTCGCTCCAATTTGAACCTATAATTGTTCAACCCCATTTCACGTTCTCCATCAACGAATCCGAAAAGTCGGGCCAAAGCGATAACCATACAACAACAAGGCAATGTTGCGACCAATCAGCAGTATCGCAGCAGCGCAAACCCGTTCAGGGACAGAGAGAACAAACCTTACCTTGAGCAAAAGAAGGAACACATCTTGCTCCAGTTGTACGACAATCA